GTGGGCATCTCTTTCATTAGGTACCTGGTACGCCTAAGACCTTTGATCAATACTAAGGAAACAAGTATGGAGAAGATGTGGACTCTATCCTCAGGAAGCTCCTAAACCTTGTAGATAGACAATTCTGTTAGAAATGACTTCTTTACACTAATTTAAACCCAAACACTGCTAACTTTCTTTCATTTATTCAAGTTCTTCTGGGTACTATACCAAGAAAAAAAAGGCTTAGCCCCTCTTCCTTTAGATATTTGAAGCCAGTGATCATATTCTCATGGGTCTTTTCTTCCCTTGGCTGAACAAAAAGACCCAGTGGGGTTGTCTGACTCCGATCTGCCAGCTGGGAATGGGGAAAACAGACTGTCGGCTGGAGGGACAGAAGAGAAGAGGAGCCAGGAACAGAGTGGCTTCTTCAAAGAAAAGAGAGGAAGTCCTTAGGGAGGGCCCTATGGAATTAGGCTGGAGGTTGGGGGTGGGAACAGGGGCACTGCTAATTAAGGTAGCAAGAGATTATGTTTGTTTAGAAGAGCAGCTCACTGAGAAATACCTCTAAATCCACTGACACTAAACCCAGGCAAAACCACAGTTGCTGAAAGAAAGCCCCACGATGGAAGGCTAAGGGCACTGGAAAAACTAGGGAGGTGGGCATAGAGAAGGACATTTAAGTCCACTGGCATCAGGACAGATACCTGCTGAGGGAAGGGGCAGCTAACAACTGCTACTTCATGCAGCCCAAACAAATCTGGTGATTACCCATACTAAAGTCAAGAAAACCCCCAGTTTCCTTTGGGGCCCCTGAAAAAAATACCTGGGTAATTTTCAACCAGAAGCTGAAGGGCTCCATGGGGTTACTGGGGAAATTAATCCTAGAGAGTCAGAAAAACCCTATGATACTGAGTTTTAAAAGCAACCTAAAATGTATACCCATAAGAACTGGGTGTTCCAAGGGGGAACCCCTGAGACACTTCTACCTCATTTTGGGGCCTAAAAATTTCCACGTTTGGGGTTTCTAATGGGGTTTCCCCGAGAAAACCGCAAAATTGCCAACAGCTGCTGAGTATCTGCAAAGGGAGCTGAGGTGCTTCACCTAAGCATTCATGCATGCTGAAGAAGCCAGAACAGGCACGAAGAGATCTACAGAAACCAGGAGACAACAGACCCATGCAACCTGGAAAGGACCAAGTTAGGCTTCTCCCTACACACACTCTTCATTGCTTCAACAATGGCATTTCCATCAGGCTAAGGGATTTCCCCAGGGGTGGCTATCTCAGAAGGGCCTGGCCCACCTGGGTCCTCACCCCTTCACTGTCCACATTCCTACTGGAAAGCAACAGAAACACTTCTGTCCTTTCAGGGAAGCTCACATCATCACCCTACAACCATTCTAGGTGCTATCTCAAGGACTGGTCTTGTTTCTCCAGGAGTAACTCCAGGAGACAAAAGTTCAGTTCCCTGAGGGAGGTAGCTCATTCATTAAAAGAGATGCTCCCACCCTACAATTTAGGAACGGGAAGGGCTTTTGTTCTACATTCTTTACTAGAGTCCAGTTCTGGCAGCTAGCTACCATTATTCCATTTTACAGGTAGGAGAGAAGATGGACAAGACAAATGAACAAAACAGATGAACAGGTTCAGCATCTCGCCAGGTGACTCCAGGCACAGTGGCGTGGCTGTGAGTCTGGAATTCCAGTCCTTGGAGCATTACCCTACAATTAAATAGAGATACCTGGGGCAGGTCACCTTCTCCTCACATGTGCACCACTGAGATGGCCTGAGAGGCCTTAGCAATGAAACAATTAACAATAAGCCCATTCTGACTGGGCAAAACCCTATTCACTTGACACTTGCAATGTCTGAGTTTTACCAGTGCCAGAATATGAGGCTACACGTAATGCCTTTGGGAATCTGCTACTGCTCATCCCACAGCTACCTGAACAATGCCAGGAACACAGCCAGAGTGAGCACCTTCACAGGCATGTTTTGCTTGGCCTAAAAAGCATCTCTGGCTTTCTCTGCCAATTGGTTTGTGTTGCTTTATTTCTCCTTGGACAACCTAATGTGGAGGAATAGTTTAGTTTTTGGAATTAGGCAGGCCTATATGTAAATTCTCACTCAGACACCTAACTTGTTGACGGACACCTGGGGCCAGTCTCTTAGTCACTAGGAGCTTCAAATGTAAAAGAGAAATAAAACCACTTAGCAGGAAAAGCTATTGGGTGGAATATATGAAATAACATGTTATGTCCATGAGGGAATGTATCACGTCTAGCTTATGACCAGCATGACCCAGAACAGTGCCTGCCACATTACTCAATAAACAGTTGTTGCGTAAGTAAAGGAACCAACACAATGCCTAATACATACGAAAACCAAACCAAACCAAACCTGCTGCCAAATCGATTCCGACTCATAGCAACCCTATAGGACGGAGTAGAACTGCCCCATAGGGTTTCCAAGGAACAGCTGGGGGATTCAAACTGTGGACCTTTCCTTTTGGTTAGCAGCCAAACACTTAACCACTGCACTAGGATGGCTCCATAAGAGGTACTTAATAAAAGTTAATTTCCTTCTCCTTTTCTATATGGATGTTAAACATCACCTACACGGATGCTAAATGCACACCTCAGGGTGGAATGGCCCATAACTCCTCCAACTCAAGAATTCTCCTCCCTCAGCCTCCAGAAAGGTTATGAGATGCCACCTTGGTGGCCAGTCTGTGCTGGCTCAGGACAGGATGATAACTGAGAAGGAAGTGGGCAGTTATCTTTCTACCCAGGCTCAAAGGATTCTGAGTCAAATGTTCTTTACCCCCTGGCCTCAGGGAGAGAATATGTGCCCAGAAACGGTTCTGACATAACTGGCTCTTCTGCACACAACTTTCTGTTCGCCAGGAGGAAGTGACATATGGTATGTTGTCCAACGGGCTCTGGTAATTTTTGAACAAAGAGATGGAAAATGGAATTTCAATCTAGTGGAGATCTGATGAACTCACTCAGTGCTGCTGGGTCTAAGACCTCTTTCCATGTGCAAAACTGGGCGGCTGGCAATTCTCTGGTCTGGGTAGCCCTTTATAGGAGCTGGCTGGCAGACTGGGCACCTCTTCCCAACTGCCTTTTGTTTATTGCTGGCAACAACCCACCTGGTATTAGGACTACTGGCCATAGTCAGATGAAGTGGGCAAATGGCCCGCCCAAGTCCCTTCTTGGAGATGCCTCAGAGGGTGTGTCTGAAGCTCTGGAATCTTGTCCCTCCTGTAATCAGCTGACAAATATTTGCTCCCAAAGAGAATCAAAGCAGGGGGGAATAGCAGAGGTCATTGCACAAACCAACAGGAACTATTTAATCATTTATCCCCCCAGGGAGTTCATTTACAGAATGGCTTTCAAGTCTGGTCAACCTCAGCTCAAGAGAGCTTTCCACCTCTATCCCCTCCACTGCTACCCCGAGTTATCTGACCTCTATTGACCTGATTCCCTTGCCTTTTACAAGAGTTGGTGAAGGGGAAGAGTTGATGAAGTTGCAAAGAAATGGGTGGAGTTCCAGGGCAAACTCTTGAGGTCTCTTGCTCAGTAGTAGAATGAAGTGCTGGCCACGCCCTAGGCCCAGCCTATGGATAACTGCATTCTTGACATTCCTGAATCCACCATGCATGGCCCCTTCCATGTCAACTTCTTCAATAAATGACTTATTTTTCACAGTCTGCTCAATTTCCTAGGGGGTCCTGAGGGGACAGCAGAGCTACAGGAGGCCTGCACTTCCTCCAGGCAGGGGAAAATAGGAAGAAAACAGGAGTAGGTTCACCGTAGGAGAGCAAAAATTGCCTAGAGTGACTACTGTAAAGAAGCTCTCACCATTACCTCCTTCTGACTTGGGAAGGAGCAAGAGAATGCTCCCTCCCTGGGAAAGGACTAAGGCATGATTTCTCACCTACAGTGTGTCCGGGACCAAAAATAATGACTACAGTCAATTTGCTGGTGTTAAGGCACTGTACTCACATTCTCTCCAAGATTTACAATATGCTGCAAGGCAAGGAGAGCTTGCCATATTTTTTTTAGTGAAACAAACTGAGGCTCAAGAAGGTAAACTGGCCTGTCCAAAGTCTCACAGCTAGTTAAGTGACAGAGCTGGGACTCACACTTGTGTCGGTTTGTTTCCAAAGTCTGTCACCAAACTGCAATGCTTCACAGAATCCCACAGACTGGGTTCTTGCTTTGCCATGAGTGCTTGGTGAAGAGGCCCCAGAGCCCTGGGCGGAAAGCAACAGGCAGAGCAGCTGGAGCTCCCCAACCGACCCCAGGCAGTGAGGTACAAAGTGCCCAGGCTTAATGTGTGACACAGCAAGAGCTCCGAAAACAGACCAACCATGCATGCAGAAAGTTGCACTTAGGGGCTTAAAGCAAACACAGACCAGCACAGCCCACACTGTCCTAAAATCAGACAATTCTCAGCCATCCAACACTGTGGTGGGACGTTCTGCCTGGCCATGCCTTATCCTGAGAGGAAAGTACCACACATGCAAACTCCAAAATAAAGAGAACTTGTTTTGGCAGAAGGCTGACACCCCTGGGGGAGAAACGATGGAGGGGCTTGTGGGCCACTGATGCTCACTTTCTTCTGCAGGCATTATGTTCACTACCCGTTTGGGTGGTGAACCATTGTGTCAGGGTGAGGAAACACTAGACTAACTTCTCGCTTTCACAGGTTTTGAGCTGAATGAACGCATAGGCTATGTCTTCCTTCGCTGGGATACTGGAGCACAGACATGAAATCTTGTAGGGTCATGAAAATGACCAGAATGAAAGATGCCAGGTCCGTCAAGAACTGGGTCATCTGTATATCCTAACAGTTAACTCCTTGTAGTGAAATGAGACCAGTCACACCTCTGAACCATCAACATTCCAACCATCACCTAGCACAAGAGAAAGAGTTACAGGGGAAAAACTGTTGGGGATCTCTCTGACCAGAGGCCAAGGAAATGAGACACACAAGGGGCATGGTCCTTACCCAGCCGCCGTTCTCCTGGATCCAAGGTTCTAGGTGGTCATTCAGGTAAGTAGCCATCCAAGCTGCGATCCGACTCACCAATACCTGCATCTCCTTGTCTACGCTTTCCACGCACAGTGCCCCACCGAAGGAGAAAAAGGCCACAATGCGACCCCAGTTCACCCCATCCCGGAAGAGTTCATTCACTACCTGCTCAAAGCTCTGATATGCTGTCCCTGGGGTGATATGGAGCTGGGATGTCAGGTCACTGAATGCCCGCCGGTACCGCAGTTCAAACTCATCACCCGCCTCCCTCAGAGCTTGCTTCACTGCTGCCATGGGGATCACCTCCCGGGCATCCAAGCTGCTGCTGTGGCCAGTAGCTCCATTCACCGCAGGGCTGTCTGCCAGGTGCCAGGATGGGTTGCCATTGACGGCACTGGGGATCTCCATCTCCGATTCAGTCCCTTCTGAGGCCCCAGTCCTATTCTCCTCCACATCACTAAACTGACTCCAACTGTATCCTTTCTGGGAAAGCTTGTAGGAGAGAAAGTCAACCACCAGCTCCCGGTTGCTCTGAGACATTTTTATAATAGGGATGGGCTCCACCAGTCCATTGTCCAAAACACCTGCTCAGTCACTGAGTCTGGTCTCTGTTAGTGGTTCTCTTCTGAGATCCAAAACCAAGATAAGGTTCTGAAAGGAAAGAAAGAGCTTCAGAGAAAAAAAAAAATTAATACGTATACCATCTCCTTACATCACAGTCCCCCTCCAAGTACCAGAGCTGATGGTGTGGCTCTTATGAAGGTCTTCCAAGAAATTTCGACAAAGTCAAATTGAAAACCCCAGTGGGCTCTGAATCATCCACCAACCTCTTTTACTCCAACCACCCCCGTTTCTCTGAAAAGCCTTCCTCGGAAAGTCACCCTCACGGGCAGTCCCCCACACCACCTACATTCAAATCTGTCTCAGACGGCGGCAGGCAGGTGCAGCCCCCGGAAGATCTTTTGTATCACAGGTCGCGAGAGGAGGGGGCGGCCAGGACGCCGGTAACTCAGCCGGCCTCGCGGCGGCTGGCAAAAAACAACAAAACAGCTCCGGCTGGAGGTATCATGCGACCCAGCAGGCTGGGAGCCCTGAAGGCGACACTGGAACCGCGACGCTCAGGAACCGGCTCCCTGGCTTGCTTCCTCCTCCATCGCCCGGATCGAGGGCGGCCGCTCCGCAGCCTCGGCCTCCTTCCACCCGGGAGCCCAGCCCCCTCGCTCTTGCACGCCCCTTGGCTCTCCGCCTCCTACTGGGAGCCAGAACTCTCCCGGAGGTGGTTGTCGTGCGGTTTATTTATTTATTTTTTTAAGGACCAGATGAGGGTGAGGCTTCTGAAACCTTGAAGGGACTTCTCAATGGGGCTCAAGGTTTCGATGAAGGGAGGAAGGAGGAGGAAACTGCCTCGGATCTGCGATCTGGCTTCGGAAAGGCCATCCCCAGCTCCTTCCGGGAGGCTGAAGGCGGGGGACCCCCCACAAACGCCGCTGGTTTTCTTTGAATTCCCCAATGGCCCAGGACGTGGCGGTGGCAGTGGGGGATTGCCCGGTCCTCCATTCCCCGCCCGGACACAATGGCCGCCGGCGCCCTGCACAAAGACGGGGTGAGGGTGAGGCGTCCGGCCTCTTCTCGCGTCAGGAAGTGGGGTCGAGGGACGTTCGAGGCCCCCCACAGCCGAGACCACGTTTTCCTGGGGACAGGCCCAAGGCGGCTTCCTGCCGCCCCCTGGAGGGCTCAGGGGCCGGGGGCTACACCTCCGAAGCCCGGAGTGGGTGGGCTGCGGCCCCGCGGCTTTTCCTACACGCTAGGCCGGGTACCCGCCGGGCCACCGCCCCGTTGCTAGGCAACCTCCTTTCCTCAGGGGCTCCCCCTAGACCTTTCTGGGAGGAGGGGTCTCGCCCCCGGCGGCCCGCCCTAGCGTAGCCAATCGGCGGGCCCAACAGGCACGGAAGCCGGACGGCGAGGGCTCCCATTGGGAGAAGCGCCTGTCACGCACAGGGAAGGCGGCGCTCTCACCTGCGAGCCCCGTGAGCCGTTGGGGGCCACATCCCCCTTCAGAGGCCCCGTAGTTTCCAGATACGGGAGTTCTTCGCGGCCAACTTCTGCGCCGCGGACCAGGGCTGGCCTACCTGGCTGACTGCTCTCGCCTCTCTTCCGAATAAGCCGGCCTCAGTTTCCCCTGAAGAGACCGGGGGAACTTGCAAGCTCAGTCACTTCCGGTGCTGCGGCAGCGCGCGCGAGCCCGAGACGCAAAGGAGTGCGCGCCTTAAGTGACTGGCGTCAAGGCGTGGGAGAGAGCGCCCCCTTGCGGAACACCTGGGGAATTCAGAGCCGTAAAGAATCAACATTTACGTGCATTTACATTCATTCATTCATTCCGTCTCTTGCATCAACCCGTTAATTTGTGTATCAAGAAAGCGTCACATTGTGGTTGAGAACAGGAGCCCTGGTGGCGCAGTGGTTAAGCAATCTACTGTTAACCGACAGGTTGACGGTTGGAACCCACCAGCCGCTCTGCGGCTCCGCGGGAGAAAGATGTGGCAGTCAGCTTCCTAAAGATTTACAGCCTTGGAAATCCTATGGGGCAGTTCTGCTGTGTCCTATAGGGTCGCTGTGAGTCAGAAGCGACTTGCCGGCAACGGGTCTGACTGAGAACCTTATCTCTAGGAACCCACTTGGGCAAGTTACTCAACTGGTCTGTGCCTCAGTTTCCTCACCTGTGAAATGGGTGGTAGTACCAACTTTCCACCTTGGGTTATTGTGAGGATTAAGAGAATTATTATTTGTATAGTCCAGAGAACAGTGTATATACCATAGTATATGCTGTATAAAATTTATTCAACAAATATTTATTGTTTGGGTTGTTGAAGATAGCGTTAGGAAGACAGACATAGTCCCTGTTTTCATGGAGACTTAAACCATAAGGATGGGGAAAGACAGTAAACAACTAAGAAAATACACAAACAAGGTCATTTCCAGTAGTGACTGGTGCTATGAACAAAAATAAATCAGGGTATTGTGATAAAGAGGACTAAGGAAGAGAAGAGGTGCAGCTTTAGACAGGGTGGTCAGCGGAGAGACATTTATTTACAATTATTTATGTAAGGTAGCCAGGGACGGCCTCTTTGAAGAGATGACAGTGAACCCAAGACTTAAAGGATAAGAAACTGCCAACCCATAGAAAGAGCCTAGAGAACATCAACCTAGGCGGAAGGACAGCATGTGCAAATGTCCTGAGGCAGGAAGATCTTGGCACATGCCAGAAGCTGAAAATGAAGCAGTGTCACTGGAGAGTAGGGAGAGAAGGTGTATGGTGTGAGAGGAGATTAAACTTAATCATGGAAATGAGTTGGAATTGATTCTAACAATGGAGAAGTATTTTATTTTATGTTAATTTAACTGATTAAAAATAGGTGTATAGGAACACTGAATATTAAAAATGTACAAAAGCTCATGAATGAAAAGTAAGTCAGCTTTTCACCCCTGCTCTCCAGTCCCTGGTTCCCCTCACAGAGGCCATCACCCTTTCCCATGTAGCCTTTCAAAGATGGTTGCTATATTCAGGAGCATATTTATGTGTATAAATGTTTTACACAACGATAGCATGCTATAAACACCTATATACCTTGTTTTTTTTCACTGAGTTCCACATTTTGAAGCTGCCTCAAGTTTTTAAATTAATGCACAACTTTATAAGAACATGCCATAATTTATTGGCTCAATCTCCTATTCGGGAACATTTAGATAGATTCCACGGACTGCCAAAAGAATGAACAAATCTGTCTTGGAAGAAGTACAGCTACAATGCTCCTTAGAAATGAGGATGGCAAGACTTCCTCTCATGTACTTTGGACATGTTACCAGGAGGGACTAGTCCCTGGAGAAGGACATCATGCTTGGTAAGAGGACTTGAAGCACGTACTGATGAACATCAAAGACTACAGCCTTCAGTATGGATTACACCTCTACATAAAGAAAACAAAAATCCTCACAGCTGGACCAGTAAGCAACATGATGATAAACGGAGAAAAGACTGAAGTTGTCAAGGATTTCATTGTACTTGGATCCACAGTCAACACCCGTGGAAGCAGCAGTCAAGAAATCAAATGACGTATTGCATTGGGCAAATCTGCAGCAAAACGCCTCTTTAAAGTGTTAAAAAGCAAAGATGTCACTTTGAGGACTAAGGTGCACCTGACTCAAGCCATAGGATTTTCAATCGCATCATATTCATGCAAAAGTTGGACAATGAGTAAAGAAGACCGAAAAAGAATTGATGCCTTTGAATTATGGTATTGGCAAAGAATATTGAATATACCATGGATTGCCAGAAGAACAAACAAATCTGTCTTCGAAGAAGTACAGTCAGAATGCTCCTTAGAAGCGAAGATGGAGAGACTTTGTCTACATACTTTGGAGATATTATCAGGAGGGACCAGACATCATGCTTGGTAAAGTAGAGGGTCAGTGACAGAGAGGAAGAGCCTCAGTGAGGTGGATTGACACGGTGGGTGCAACAATAGGCTCAAACATAGCAACGATTGTGAGGATGGCACAGTGTTTCCTTCTGTTGTATGCAGGGTCACTATGAGTTAGGACTGACTCGACAGCACCTAACAACAAAGGTAGATTCCAATCTTCCCTACTACAAATAATGCTATAACTTGTCTATTCATTATTCTGCTTATGTGGGAGTTTGTCTGCAACATAAATTCCTGGAAGTGAATTACCTGGTAAATGAGTATATGTATTTTCTGTGTGTGTGTGTGTGTTTTAAATGGATATTGGCAAACTGTTCTGTATAGCAATTGTACCTGTTTACTCTCCCATCAGTAAAGTATGAGAGTGCCTATTTCCTCACACCCTGACCTACACAATGTGTTATGAAACCTTTTGATCCTTGCAAATTGGATAGGTAAAAGTTGAGAGGTACTTTTATTTTTCAGTCCTTTTATTATGAGTGAAGTTCAGCAATTTTTCATATTTTTGAGGGTTTTTTTGACTTGTTTTGGTAAATTCTCTGTTCATATCATTTGCCCACTTTTCAGTTGGTCTTACTGTTGAACTTTTCCCTCATTAATTTATAGAGGTTTTTATCCTTTTTTCTCCATATGTATGAGTTGTAAATATTTTTCTGGTTTATTATTTATTACCATGAAAAAACTTTTAATTTCTATGTGTTTTATCAATCTTTTTCTTTGTGGCTTCTGAGGTCTGTGTTATACTTAGAAAGACCTTCTCCAGTTCAATTTTATAAAAATAATTCTACATGTTTTCTTTTAGTTTTACATGGCTTCATATTTTACATTAAAAATTTTGTTCCACCATATATTCACTTTGGCATAAAGTGTGAGTAAGGATCCAGATTTTTTTTTCCCCAGACAACTACCCAGATAGTTGTCAACACCATGTATAGTACTATCATCTTTTCCCCATTCATTTGAAATGTTTCCATTATCATAAATTACATTCCAATGTGTATTTGGGTTAATCTCTGAGCTTTCTATTCTGTTCCGTGGGAGGCTTTTAAGCTTGGGCAGGACATGATCTCATTTACACTTTTAAAATCCCTGGTGTCACAATAATTTCTGTGTTACAAGTATCATTCTGGGTGGTGCAAATAGTTAATGAGCTTGGCTGCTAAGCAAAAGCTTGGAGGTTTGAGTCTTCCCAGAGGCACCTTGCAAGAAAGTCCTGGCAATCTACTTCTGAAAAAATCAGCCATTGAAAACCTTACGGAGCACAGTTCTATTCTGAGACACATAGGGTCACCAGGAGTCAGAATCAACTAGACAGCAACTAGTTTTAAGTGTGCTTTGGGAGCCCAGCAGAGGGCGGAATCAACTCTGCCCAGAGGTGCAGGCTCTATTGAGCTGTCCCTGAAAGGAGAGTAGCATTTTGTCTGAGAGAGAAAGGAGGTTAAGAGCATTTCAGGCAGAAGTAATGACGGTCTGACACAAATGCCCATGATGTGCCCTAGGAATAAATTGGGATGGTTCAGTGAGGGGTAGTGGTAGAGGAGATTGAATGTAAATGTCCATTTGTGTGTGCAGGACACTAAGAAGAAGTCAATTTTTTTTTTCTTTTCTTAAACCAGGAAAGGACATGAAGAGATTTATTTAGATTTTGGAAAGATTGATAGAATACATTGTGCTAAGGTCTCTGTACTCCTTCCAAATGGTTAAGCCCTTGATTACAAACCGAAATCTCATCTGGACTTTGCTGATTACATCCTCATGGTGTCAATTAACCATACTTTAAAAATAGTATAATCTCATAAAGTTAGTATTTATTAGATCTGTTATGACACTTTCTCCCTCTTTATTATTAATAAATTAAAAAAAATTATTTTAAAAAATTCAGATGCCACTTCTTATACCTTTCCTCTTCCGTATGAATTTTAGAATCAACTCAGCAAGTTCCATGACAAAACCTATTGGGATTTTCATTGGGATTTCCCTGAACTTTTCATTGTTATGCTTGAGCCCACTGTTGCAGCCACTGTGTCAATCCACTGAGGATCTTACTCTTTTTTGCTGACCCTCTATTTACCAAGCATGATGTCCTTCTCCAGGGACTGGTCCCTCCTGATAACATGTCCAAAGTACGTAGATGAAGTCTCTCTATCCTTGCTTCTAAGGAGTATTCTGGCTGTACTTCTTCTAAGACAGATTTGTTCATTCTTCTAGCAGTTCATGGTATCATGGTATATTCAGTATTCTTCACCAACACCATAATTCAAAGGCATCAATTCTTTTTCAGGCTTCCTTTTTCATTGCCCAGCTTTCACATGCATATGAAGTGATTGAAAATACCATGGCTTGGGTCAGGTGCACCTTAGTCCTCAAAGTGACATCTTTGCTTTTTAACACTTTAAAGAGGTCTTTTGCAGC